ATCACAATTTAACGGCATTACATCCTGGAAGGTTTGATGGAACCCGATCAAATGGTCAGCCTTCCAGTAACCCATTGATTGATCGTGCGCATCATCGTCATCATCTAGCTAGCATTAGCAAGTTGTGGATTGCAGTTGCGACCTTCCAAGCACCGCGTGCGTACTCTGTCTGATCTGATAACAAGGAATATATAGCTTTGATAGCTTCGTCTCCTTTTGCATGCTTCCACGTACTCAGCCATTTAGAATGACAAATACTATTGTATCTGCATAATTGCTGTGATTAGGGAAAACTTAGCGTAAAATAATGCCGGCATGCCTATCCAATATTAGCTTGCTGACACTTAGCAATCGAGAAACTTGTTTGACTTGCTTACAACCAAGAGAAACATTTGGTAGGCGATGAGGATGTTCAGTCCAGAACTCAACTCCCGGACATATACATATGTCATCCAGCTTTCCCATCGAGGATAAACATGAAACATGCCTTTCTTGCTTATATAGGTTTACACACACGCGGGTATATATATTGTGCACAGTGCTTAAGTCCACGGACCGGGGTACAGATCAGCACGGGCATAAGTTTTGTCCCTTGAATTACAAAAATATTTGGCCGTGCCCCCTGATAGAAATGACGGACGACCTAAAATCATACTGTATGTCTCCCCTATATTATTATTATTATTATTATTATTATTATTATTATTATTATTATTATTATTATTATATATTATATTATATATAATATATAATAATAATAATAATAATAATAATAATAAAGCATCTATTGCTTCTGGTGGTACGTCACCTAATTTGCCTCTAAAGTTGCTAAATATTACCCACCAATGCCACCTATAAGTGAGGAAAAACGATTCTTTTTTTTTCGTGGCCCTGGACCCTGGTTTATGTACCAGCGGTGTCCCTTTGGTAACAGACGGACTTAATTAGTGCATTGGCTGGTGCGTCTGTCTTGTATCCACGAGACGCAGGTTCGAACCCCGGTTCTCTCAAACGGTCTTCAAAATATTTAACTTTCAAACACTAACTCAAAATATAACATGTTACATATGAAATGGTCTTCAAAATATTTAACTTTCAAACACTAACTCCAAATATTTATCTTTCAAACACTAACTCAAAAAATAACATGTTATATATGAAAAAAAACATGAGAAAAAAACACAAACTCAAAATATAACATGTTACTCCTATATATGAAAAAAGACCTGAGAAAATGTGTATCTCTACCAAATATTAAAAGGAGGATTGTTTCTCCACTTTTTTTCGTCATCAAAGTGTTTCGTATGTGTTATTTTATTTTATTTTCGTACATCATTCTGTTTTGTCATTTGCGTTGTAGATAAATGAAACTGGGTTCAAAGAGAAATTATGTTGGAAGGAGGAATCGAACCTCGCCCGCTTAGAAAGACAGCATTCAAGCTAACTAGGTGACCTAACTATAGTTCTTTGAAAATTGTAAGGAAGGAATCCTCTCATCTTAAAGATATTTTCACAACAACAAAAGAAACCTTTGAAGCACGCACGCGCGATAAATACACGCTAGCCTCCCCTTCGTACGTAAGACGCTGGCCTCGACCGTCGATCTACACTTTTTTTTGTGAGTAGCACTATCCTTCTGTTATGGGCCTTCTCTTATGGGCTATGATCGAGCTAATCTTTTGGAATTTGTGGGAATCAGGGCATTTTATCACCTCGGTAAAAAGAGAGAGGGTGTTTAGAAGAATATACAAATGATTCTAAAAAAAGAATATACAAATTATAGTCTCACCTTGCTATCTCATACCAATTTCCACCAATTTATATATGTTGATAGGTTACTTGGAATATCAACAAGTGGCTTCCGGAATAAACAAACATATGATGAAAACAGAACAGACGCCTTCCAATGAATTAGCAAGCACGGGAGAGACCACTCAAAATAAAAGCAAGCACCGGAGAGACATAAAATATTAGTTCATGTAGTTAGTAGTCCTGCATATTTCATCATCAGGGAAGAATCAGGACTGAAACGTTCAATTGCACCGGCGAATTGCTCTCGCGCATCTAAGTGTGATGCTTCGCCGCTCACAGGTTGATGAGCCCGCAGATGCGACGAGCAGGCATTGAACCCACAACCATCAACTACACGCAGGATCACATGACAACTTTCTCGAAACAGATAGAAGGTGTGACTATCATCTTCTTCTCCGCGTAGGAGAATTGTTCGAGCACATGGCAATGGGATGTCTGACATGAATTTTGCATAAACAAACCTCCTTTTCCATAAAAGGTCTCTTGTCGAGCCTAAGTGGCAATCCATCTTTAGTATCCATAGATAATAGAAAACACAGATGTTGTGAGCTAGCATATTTTGCTAGGGGCATGTGATTTTTTCTCTTCCGTTGCAACGCTCGGACCTTTTTGCTAGTAGATAGCAATATGCATACTACTTCTTTATCCTAGAAAATATGACTACCTTGTATCGTTTAAGCGTGTACTTTGATTTATGCTTTATCTACAGAGCGGGCGAAAGTCTGTTTCGAGAGAGTATGGCATATAGGTGCACAAGCACACTATCACACACTCACAACACGTCATAAAAGACCGAAGCCCCGCAATTTCAATATTGACGAAATCACTGATAGAAGATAGCCATTGTTTGGCAAGATTCAACATATTTGCAAAATAAACCTCATATTTCATCAAAATCAACCTACACTTCATTTGGTTTGGGATTTTGGTTATTGTGCAAAAAAAATATCTATACTTTTTTATGAATATCAGATCGCATCTGAGTTTTATCAAGTTTTGGACAATCGGATCATGGTTCTCTATAATTTATCAAAATAGAAGTCTATCCTTTGAAAAAGAAATCCCAATGCCATCTGGAAGATGAAGATACCTCTAAAGAATAAAGTCTTTGCATGGTATCTTCGTCACGAAGTCATTCTTACTAAAGATAACCTTATTAAGAGAAATTGGCATGGAAGTCCGCAATGTGTCTTTTGTCACCATGATGGAACAATAAAACATTTATTCTTCCAATGCAAATTGGCTCGTTCTATATGGTCAGTCATCCAGATAGCTTCTGGCTTGTATCCTCCTTATAGTGTTGCTAATGTATTTGGCAACTGGTTACATGGGACTGATTACAGGTTTAGAACTATTTTTAGGGTGGGAGCGCTTGCCGTTATTTGGTCGCTTTGGCTATGTAGAAATGATAAGGTTTTGAACAATAAAAGTACTTCTCTGATGCAGGTTATCTACGGATGTACCATCTTCGTTTATGGTCCTCTCTACAACGTGTGGAGAATCGAGACCTGTTTACGAAGGTGTGTACACGATTGGAGGATACGGCGATGGATACTTTTACCCAACATGGGTGGCAGCATGATCTTAGGATTGGCCCACCTCCGCTTTAGGCATTATATAGACTCTACATGTTTCTTTGTATTTCGCCTCCTTAATTTTCGTTTGCGTGAGAAAACTTGTTTGGCTGTGTGCATCATAGTTATGCAGAGGCCGGGTGTAATGCTTAAATCTTTTAAGTAATAAAGCGTCCCTTTTCGGAAAAAAATCTATACCAATATAGTAAACACAAGTTATTTGAGATAAGTTTGATCTAAGTTGTCCAAACAAGTACGTACACACACCCAACCTATACAAGCCCCTTCGAGAGACTGAGCTGGCACATGATCTTGAGATTAATGAAATCGCTACAGACGTCTTCGTAGTCGACAGGGACGTCTGCTCCCACTAAATCACCATAGACGCCTTCATAGTTGACGGGAACGTCTCATCCCACTAAACGCACATCGCCGGAAAGGTGAAAATGCAAGCACGAGCGTCAAGTCTAGAACTTGAACCGTGGTGGACTAGGGATACCACTGTCTCCTAACCATCCAACCACATGTTGGTGCGCCATGTCTTTTGCTCTTGATATGTGCATGTTTTATTTGCAAAAAAAACACAATGTTTAATTTTAAAAGAAATCCCACTGTTATTTATATGCCTTTGTAATATGCTTGATTTAATATACACAATAGTTTTTCTTAAAATTATTACAATTTTTTCCCATGGCAACAAGACAGTAAGAAACACATGGAGTAAAGCATTTTTTTAGTAACTGTAAATAAAAAACAGATGTTTGTTCCTTTTCTAACTCCGAAGCTAACGACCTCATGTTTTCATTCCCGTTTTCATTTGTTTCTAAACTATGGTTGAAACACGTGCACGGTTACTACTTACAACTTTGCGTAAGCGTAGCGGTAATATCTCCTCGCAGCAAGATAAGCAACAAGCTGAATAAGGTAGTATGTTATGTTTGTTTGGAATGCTCCATCTGACTTGCGTGCCGAGCTGACCGGGTTTCCAAGAAAAGAAAAACAAACTAAACGAACTTGCAGTTCGCGGTTTCGCCTAACGCGTTGGTCACATTTTTGTACGACCTCTCGCCGCACAGAGTCACGACATACGTGTCGTCGCCATCTGAATTAGTCAGCACTACCACATGTCTCCAGCTCCGACGAGCTGGCCTCTAAATCGCGCGTCTAGCTAGCCGATGAATCCATGTCAGCGCCACATTCATTCCTCGTTTTTAATTGCCTGGATTTCGGCTAGTAAAACGCGGCTCTATCCGCCGCGTCACACTAGCCCGGTATAAATACCCCGCCCCGTTCCCCCATTCCGGCTCACCCACCAAACATCCCAGCTCGAGCTCTCGTCTCTGTCACGTACCACAAAGCCGGGAAAACTCGTGCCACCAAGAAAAATGGCGTTCCGCAGAACCATCGCACGGAGCATATGGGCAGCCAAGAACGCGGCCACCTGCGCCGCCGCCGTGCCCAAGCCCAAGCCCCCGCCTCCCATTCTCCCGGCGCGCCGGACGCTGCCGGTGGTGGAGGACTGCCCGACGCTCGCATTCCTGCGCCCGCGCCCGGCCACCGCCCGCTACTCCACCGTCTCCGTCCCGCTCCCGCACCACTGCTTCCCCGCCTTCCCCGTCGGCGACCAGCTGTTCAACCGCCTCGTCGACGGGCTCACGCCGCCGCCTGCCGCCGTGCCGTGGAGGCCCGGGGAGACGGGCGTGACGCTGCACGAGGCGAGGAAGGTGGCGAGGGCGGCGGAGATGGAGGCGGCGCGCGCCACGCTGAGGGCCAACCCCGAGAGCGTCGTGTCCAGGTCAGAGTACGCCGCGCTCTGCATCGACATTGCGGGCGGCGAGGAGGGCGGGCGCAAGCTCGCCGTGGCGCTCGACGAGTCCGGCGTCGTCATCGTCCTCGCCGACGCCGTCTTCCTCCGCCCCGACCAGGTTGCGAAGGCGATCGGGAGCATGCTGCCGTCGCCGGCGCGAGCAGCAGCCGCGGGCGACGACGTCGAGGCGCGCAAGCTGGAGCTGCGGGCGCTGGAGCGGCAGAAGGCGGCCATCGACGCCAAGGCGGCGGCGCAGGTGCGGCGGGAGCTGTGGTGCGGGCTGGGCCTGCTGGCGGCACAGACGCTGGGGTTCATGCGGCTCACCTTCTGGGAGCTGTCGTGGGACGTGATGGAGCCCGTGTGCTTCTACGTCACGTCCATCTACTTCATGTCCGGCTACACCTTCTTCATGAGGACGGCCACGGAGCCGTCCTTCGAGGGCTTCTACCGGAGCCGCTTCGCGACGAGGCAGCGCCGCCTCATGCGCGCCCGCCAGTTCGACGTCGCCCGGTACAACGCTCTGAAGCAAGCGGAGCTGCGCGGCGTGTCCGGTTCTGTGGCACAAAGCGATCATGGCGAGTGCGATGCCGACGTGTTTAGGCACGCCACGCACGTACATCAGTAGCGCCGTTCTTCTAAAGAACTCTGGTACAGACTAACTAGTTTGAGACGTAGTACAAAAAACTAGTTTGAGACGTGTAGATTGTAGAGTCCAGTGCTTATCTGGACTCACCGATTCATGATCCATGGCACAAAAAATTCACCGATGTTTGAGTTTGTTTATAACTTGTATAGTGATGGTAAAATTCACCATTTTATCGTGAAAACTGAATCGAACATTTTTATGTTCAAAAAGGTGAACGTGCACTGTTTTGATTATTTTTTTGTTGAGAAAATTTCTGTTTTGATTCTCAAAGGAAAAACATCTCCGTTTTGGGGTGTCAGCCTGTCACAACTCGTGTACACAGTTAGACCTGGCCATCCTCCGGGCCGGGCCTGACCAAGCCCGAGGTAGAAAACTCAGGCCCGAGCCCGGCCCGGCCCGGCTGTCGGGCCTAGTTTTCAGGCCCAAGCCCGGCCCATCACAGCAAAAACACGTCGGGCCTCGGGCCTTGGGCCGGGCCTCTTCAGTAAATGGCATAAACAGTGGGCTCAGGCCCGGCCCGACCTAGTCTTCGGGCTCAAAACCTAGGCCTAGGCCCGGCCCGGGAGCAGCGTCGGGCCGGGCTTTTTCGGGCCGGGCTGTCCGGGCCGGGCGGCCCATGGCCAGGACTATACACAGTACACGCTATTGGAATGGACTGAGATGGCCCGTCCCGCTGGTTTTGTTCATAGGCCAACTTCTCTTCCCAGGATTTGTACAAAGAGAAAAAAAATCTCTGGAAGCAGTGCACTAGCGCGAGAGCTATTTCTCGCCTTAAGCGAGTTGAAAGAGGATCACTTGCTGAAGGGTCGACACTAATCAGGCCGCATATGCACAGTAAAAGGAAATAGAGCATGCCAGGTAATCAAATTGTGGTCTCCAGCTTTCGAGCAACGGCGTCTGAGTGGTTTTCGCTGTTCTTTATTTATTTTTTGTTGGACCTCAATAAGTCCCGAACGTTCGACTTTTAAGCATGCTAATCCGAACTCTTTTCATGAGAATTTTAGTTAAGGCGATGTTGACAAACACGGCAATTTTTTAACAAAAAATCGAACTGGAACAAAGTTGCCATGTGTTAACAACTAAAGTTGACACCTCGCAGCAACTAAAATTGGCATCAAAAAACGTTCGGGATGACATGCTTAAATTCCGAACGTTCGGGATTTATCTATACCTTTTTTGTTTGGTTTTCTTTTTTCTTCTTCATTTTTGTTTTTTCTTATGTTTATTTTTGTTTTTACTCTGCATTTTCATATATGTCAGAATTTTCTTTTAATAAGTGATCAACATTTTTTATAAACGTTCAGTATTTTCCAAATGCTTATTCAATATTTTTAAAATACTTGTTCAACATTTTAATACTTACTCAATATTTTTCAAATAAATGTTCTACATTTTTCAAATATATTTTTAATATTTTACAATACTTACTCAACATTTTCAAATACTTATTTGATATTTGTAATATTTATTCCATATTTTGAAATACTTGTTCTACAATTTTTCAAATACCTGTTCAACAATTTTTAATACTTGTTTAATTATTCAGTATTTTCGAATACTCATCCACATTTTTCAAATGTATTGTTGAAATGTGTTTTTTTATACATATGTAGAATATTGTAAAGTATAAAGAAAAGTACAAAAATAAAGCAAGACGAGAACATAAACAAAAAAAACAGGCCGTAGCCTCCCGCTCTGCTGGGCCGGCCCATCTGGGGTCTTCCCGACGCGAGGCTTCCCCTGTGCTCGCTTAAAACGAGAAATAGGGTGCTTTGCACTAGACCATGAGGACAAAAAATCATCAAACCATACCCAGAAAAAAAATCATGTGACAAATAAATTCATCTATTTTGTGCAAAGTCCCAATGAATAAAAGCATATTTCTTTTTTTTTTGAAATGAATGAATCAAAAGCATACATATTGACACGACCAAACCAATAAACATCTGGTAATTCGGATGAACGATAGTACTAACCAAAATCGAGACACCATAACGATGAATGAACGACACTACTAGCCAAAATCGAAGGGCCGGACTACTGCTGCGCCGGGCAAAAGGTGATGAGGTACTGCGCTCCGGCGCCGCAGGTGAAGGTGCTGGTGGGATCGTCGTAGGCGTAGCTGTACGCGGCGGGGCATGCCGCCTTGAACAGCCTCGAGTACTTGGTCGGCCCGCAGCTGTTCGGCCCGCCGTGCGCGCCCGTGCAGCAGTACTCGGCCGTCCCGAACGCCTCGCACGCGCTCCGGCACGCCACCGTCTTCCCCTCCTGGTCCCCTTCCTTGCCGGCCACCTGCAGCTCCGCGGGGCACAGCGCGTTCACGTCGCCCACGCACCCGGCGTAGCCGCATGTCGAGGAGTTCACCCTGGCGCCCGTGGCCGCCACGCCGATGCCGACGTTGTACCCGTCCACCAGGCTCACGTCGTAGAAGTCCTTGCCGTCCGCGCCCCCGAGGGTGAACTCGGCGAGCGTGACGGGGGGCGCCCCGCCCAGGGTGCAGCGCACGGCGCCGCCGCAGTCGCCCGTGGCGCAGGCGAGGGACGCGCCGGAGGCGGCGGCGACGCAGCCGGTGCGCGCCCAGAGCCGGCCGGACCAGCCCGTCGGGCCGGGGAACGACACGTTGGCGCCCGGCGCGAGCTCGAAGCCGCCGCCCCCGACGGCGACGGCGCTGTTGCCGGACAATGTGGCCGGCCAGATCGTGAAGGTGCAGTTGTTGCGCAGTGTGAAGACCGTCGTGCCGGCCGCCTCGGCGCCGGGCTGTGCGCGTGACCAAACGACCCCTGCACGGAGACGTTACCATGCAGATACACGGTCAGTGCGAATGCAGCAACAACCTGAACTTCGTCTAACCAAGAACTCGCAGACGTACCGAGGAGGAGCAGAAAGGACGCGATCCGTGCGGCTTCCATGGCAATGGCGTGCCTCGATCGAGCTAGAAAGAGCTCGTTGGACAGACAGCGGACGATCGATCGCTTGGACAGAGCTGCAGCTGGAAGAGGGACGCAAGATTAGTGAAGTGATTCGGCAGATACTACGCCTTTTTTGAATGGTGCTTTATACAGACGTGTACGGTGTGAGGGGGCCATTAGGTGGGAACTCGGGAGGAGATATCGGAGTTCGTTGAGAATTTGGAGGGACGCACGACTAACGCCCGGTGTCGTGTCCACCTCGTGCCATCGCCCATGTACGCGCGAGTTTAGGTGCCGTGGCGGTACTGGTAGTGGCGCTTAGTCCAGGCGAGAAATCCGTGACAATTTGTGTACGATAAAAAGGCGTAACAGATTTCAATGCTTTTCTTTTTGCGAAGGCAACAGATTGCAATTTAGAGCAGATTAGTTGCAGGCCTGCAGCACATCTCGGCCCAGCATATCCGCCATAGACAAAAAGCGCACAGGTCATCTGGCATGTGTGCTGTAAATTTTTGTGCGCCACGTGTGAAAGTATAATGCTGTAAAATTTTCCACATGTGTTATGTACATGTACATGTGTATTAAAAAACGCAATAAAAAATGCGCTGTGTAAAATGTTATTTTAATACCAAGTTCTGTATATGAGCTCAGCCTCCATTGGCATTTTTCGATTCGCGCCGTTGGAGAACGGCCTGAGCTTTTTTTGTTTTTTATGAAGGTAATGGCCTGAGCTGAGAAGCAGTGCCCCGCCCACTTCTTTCTTCGCACCGGTTTTTTGGTTTTCATTGCCAGAGAGTTTGCCACAATCTCCTTAATGCTTAATGCCGATCTGGAAGGTAATTCCACAGGCTCGTCATGGGTTTTCATCCGACGATCCCACCACAGGTACAACGCAGCTACCATGACCGTGTCAATTCCACCAGAGATCGGTAGAGCACGAACAAGCAATAAAGTAGTGTTGTTTCTCTAAATAAAG